CGTTCAACGTCGCGGGGCTATTTACGTACATATTGTTTAAAACGCAAAGCTGTCCTTCCCTGAGACAGCCGAGCGGAGCCCGCCACAAGACAAAAAGTTTTTGGAGAGGCGGAGAAAGATAATCGCCCGCCACTTCGAAAAAGCTTCTAAAAATTCGAAACGGATGAGCCTTGTGCCTGCGTGTGTAAAGTTTGGAAAGTGGGAGCAGCGGATGAAACAAAATTAGAAGGGGGCAAAAAAAGAAAAAAAGAAAAAAAAAGCTATATATTTATTATAATAGCTAGTATTATTATTATAGTAATTTGGCGCCATCTGATCTGTATTCACCCCCCAAAGACGAGGGTTAAAAAGGGGAGATAAGAGAGAGAGAGAGAGCGAGTTGCTGCCGTCGACGGGGAGGAGAGAGAAACAACCATTGTCCTCCTCCTCTTTCTCTCTCCTCTTCACCCCTCGCTCTCTTCTCCTCCGTCCCGATCCCGATCCCGATCGCGATCTCGGTCTCTTATGCGACTGAAGGAGATGATCAGATCCGTGGCGGCGATCCGTTGATTGTTGCTCCTCGCGCTTCTCTCAGGCCTCAGGTACGTTCCATCTCTCCAAACATCAAACTGTGTTTCTATTTCCAAGGCATTAGATCTACTGTGTTCTTGAGATCCGTGAAGGGAAAATTTTTTTGCCTCAGAGCAAAAGTTATTGTCCTCAATTTTTATTCAAACCGTCATCTTTTAACCATCCGATTTTCGACGGAGGATTTTATCTACCTCAATCAACCGTCTATTTTCTTAATTTGGCTGATTTTTCAGTTTTTTATATGATTAGATGTAATTTAACAGTTTCATTTAATTAAATCTGTCCCACATCATCATCATTTCTTTTTTCTTTTTTCCTTTTTCTTTTTTTTCTGAGTTGAGTGAACAATAAATGCTTTAAGGAAAAGGAGAGAATATATATAAATAATCAATTAATAATTTGTCAGCAGTCGGTAGAGAATCAGCAGAAGAGGAAGAAGCAAATTCAAACTGAGGAAGGATATATATATAGAGAGAGATAAGATGAGAGTAGTATACGACTTACTCAACTCCCAGGGGAGCAAGGATCAGGACGAGCTGCTGCTGCTGCTGCTGCTGTTTCTTCTTCTTCTTCGGTCACGGCCGACGCACGCACTACCATGAGATCATCGCCTTTGAGGGTGAGGTCCGTGAAGAGGAAGGACAACGATGACGGGTCAAGCTCGAGCTTGAAAGGCACCCGAACAAAACCCGGAGCAACGACCAAGAGCATCAAGCGCCGAGCGGATGCCATCATCAATTGGCTCTCCGTCAACGGCTGTGCTTCAGAGGTCAAGATCCGATCTGTTATCGGTAACACTCCTGACACCAGCAAAGCCCTCCGATTGTGAGTATGATACACCACAGTGCGGTTTTTGGTCCGCCTATACTAGATTTTTAATTACTTCTTGTTGGTTACATCAGTAACTCAATGCATTTTTTTAACCTTTACTAGGCTAATGAGATATTCTCTTGGGATCTTCACCTATCCGTATCCCAAATCTCTGGTATTTCAAAACCAGCCTCTAAATCCTGTTAGCTGCCAATTTGTCCTCTAAACAACGGCAGTCAAATTAATCTTTCTCTACACTCATCCTAATATATTTCTACTAGAATGAGATTAGATTTCGCATTACCGTTTCTTTTTTCAGTCGAATTTTTCATTTTTCACTGAAAGAACCAGTAAAAAGTCGTTTCTTTTTCCTTGAAAGAAACTATCCAACCAAAATAAACCACTAGCTGTCTAACACCATTTCCTTATCCTCTCAATCCTATCCTGTATTGACCTAAGAGAACTCACTCTAAAAGCTAGTTGTTAGAGTGAGAATTCAAATCTCTTGCAATTCAACAATTGACTCCTCATATACCACCACCACGTTTCTACAGTCTTGTGTCCAGACACACTGCCCTGTGCACTAGCCTAGTATTGAGGGAATACTGGAATCATGACATCACCGGTTTGACTTTTCACTAAACTAGTCTTGCTGGACACTGCAATACCAAAGTTACCACCTGAAGTTACCACCTGTGCCGCTTTCTTGCAACTAGGAAGAAAAAGAGGTGGACTATGGTAATCATGAGAAAAACCACCTCCAAAATTATTTGTTAGAGTGAGGTAACCTTAATCTCTTTTAAACTCACAATTGATTCCCCATCTAACCATTGAGTGACAAAATCAACCCAAACACGGCATTATAAAATGGAAACCTCATCATTCTGCTTGTTAAATACTCTTCTACTTCCACCCTAATGTCGTACTAACAAAAGATATGGTCACATCTGTGGCACTTTAATTTCGGCTAAATTACCAGATTTGTATAAAAAATTGTACCTAATGACCATATTTGTATTAAAAGTAAATTCGTCGACAAATAGTATATAAACTTGCATAACGAGACAAATAGGCCCAAAATTTGATTTTCCGGTAAAAATCTCCGGCATTCTATCACGTGATCTTTACGTGCGGCTTAGGTGTCTGTCTTAAAAGAAACAAAAGAAACAAAAGAAACATGGCTGATATGGTAGTGATAAAGGGTGGGAATTAACTACCCTAAAACTAAGTCCCTGCCCAGAATTTCCCTAGTTTCCACCTCCCACTGAGCTTTGAGAAAGAGAAGAGAATAAAAGGACTGTGGTGACATAGATTCTCTCCCGCTGATGGTGACGGGGTGCCTCTGTCAACATAAACTCGCGAAGCCCTAGCATCATAGTGGTCCTACTGCTACTGTTTGGAGATCTTGAGTCTTGACACAGTTAAAGGTGAGTCCAAAATTCAAAATTTGAAATCAGTTTCATGCATTATGTGATTAATGATGATGAGTTTAGGGTTTAATTGAAACAAATACATGAATTTGGGGTTTAATCAAAACAGAAACATGAATTCGGGGTTTTGTTGTAGAAATGTGGAATTTTGGGGCTGATGTCATTCTAAAGTTGTTGGAATTTAGTTATTGTATTTTGAGAAAGATCATGTGATAGGATGCCAGAGCTTTTTGATCAAAAAAAAAAAAATGGCCTTATATGTCTTGTCGTCCAAGTTTATATACCTCATTGTTGCCGAATTTTTTTAAATAGCAGTCTAGTCATTAGGTACTACTTTTAACACCGATCTATTAATGTAGTTTTTTAATTTTCTCCATAAGGACACTCTTTAATGATGTCGTTGAAATAAAACTTGATTTAGCTCGACAATATCTTGGGCAAACATGTTGTGGGCTAAGAAATTATTTTTCTCTGACCTGACCTAAGGTTGGATTTGGTGCTGATTGGTAGAGCAAGAGACCTAACAACTTCTGATATTAATCATTAATGGTAACCGACTATAAACCGTTAGCTGTAATCTCAAAAGTCGAAAGTTTGGATAAATGGTTCATATTTTACAGTATGTAGCATGGGGTTTAAAGATATCACAAATTAAAATTTTGTCATTTTCAAAATCATAATAAATTTATTAATTCTCATGTTTTGCCTTTCGAACGAAGTTAAAGGTTGGAGTTGTACAAGTGAGGAGGGACGCTAAATATTTAATATTTTTAAATGACTACTTCACTACACTAATACTCCAAAGTTGCAATAAGGGTTGAGGGTTATAATTTTATACTTAAACATTTCCTCTGTAGGGTGAACGCCCCTTTCTTGGGCCGAAATGTGGACACATACAACAATATCTTTTTTATTCTTCAAGCCACAATATCTTTTTTATTCTTAAAGTGGCTTTTTTTGTGGATTTGAACCTGACTTGCTCTAGTACCATGTCAAAAAACCCTTCCTCTGAATTATGGTGTGGATTGAGGATTTAAACTCTTATAGGTATTAGTTTGATATGCCTTATTGCTTTATTTTCTAATATGTCTTTTAAATTGCTCTCGACAATCCTAGATAAGTTTGGGAGAGGCTACAGGAAATGATGTAGAATGAGGAGAATAGATTAGAGGAAGATGTTTTTATTAAGGATAAGTTTTAAGAGTGAGCGAGTGAGAGAAATTAAGAAGAAAAATCAAAAGCGAATTGTCAAATTAGTTAACTAGATATAGTGGTCATCTTTTAAGTTTTTAAATCTTACTAATATAAAAAAAAGATAACATTCCACTTTTATTTCTAAGAACAATAGAACAGGGAGAGAGAGGCAACATGTTTAAGTATCATTAGAATATAAATTAGTAAAACAACACGACGTCATGGTTAATCTTTAAAATACCAAAGACTTGAGGTTTAGATATGTGAAAAATCTGTTCAGATATGTGAAAAATCTTACTTTCAGTGAGATTTGTCTTTCTATCCTAATTTTGACTTTGATTTACTTTATTATCCTAATAATTTGAGTAGTTCTCTTATACCAACAATATAGAAAAAAATTGCCCGTATAGTCTCCATAGATTATGTACAATTCAGATAAATTTGATATTTTTATGAAAACCCCACTTTTTGGGTGCTGTATACGCCATTTGCCACCCCCCTTCTTGCCAGCGGCACTCCCTGCTTTTTTCGAACTCCTCACTTTGCTCCCATCTCTATGAGTGTCCTCCTGACCCCTCGCTCCCTATCGATAACCACTCTCCATAATAATTCCCTTCCCACTCACTGGACACCCACCTTGCCCTCCCCCAGCCTTCAACAAGCTCTTCAATTGTCCATCTCATTCTAAGATGAGTTCATTATAAAAGGAAGTGAACAAGAGAGAGAATTCTTGAGTTATCAATTGTGGTACTCCCTTTGTAGGGTTTGGTTAATGAGATTAGAGAGCCATCTCTTTTGTCTTAATCTTCTTTATTTTACTATTGAATTTCCCTTGTAGTATTCCCCTGTAGATGTAGGTCAAGATAGTGACCTATGTTGAATCCTCATGTTACGTTCTCTTTGTATTTACTGTGTTTATTTATTTATGTAGTTCTATTGTTTATCTACACGTGTATAGACACCCCTTCGTCTTAAGAGAAACTCTTCATTAAGTGACTCCGATATAATCCAGTACTCAATTGAATTGTTTCATGGGGAACCTTGCAGGCTGGTGAAGAAGGCCAAAGTGAAGCGTACGGGCACAGGAGGGCGCACAGATCCCTTCCTGTACACGGTACGTAAGCACTAGTAACGTTTACAATAGTAATTAACTAATTAATTTCTGATGTATTTTGTTTTTTAATTTTGACTTGGATCAGGTAGCACCGAATGGGACGACACAGAGTTGATTATAGCTCTGCTTTTCAAGATCTATACAGATGATAAATGAAACGAACCTCCTTACTTTTGACATAGTTAGCTTAGTTTTACAAATGTTTAGAAAAGAATCAGGAGTCGGTAAATGGCTCATCTATACCGGTTACTCTCGCTTTTCACTCAGCAGTTGCTTAATCACTGTTCTTTACCTTGCTTTTATGGGTTATTACAGTTGATATCTTGGAGAGTTGGCCATGAGAGGGGGCATGAAATTTTGTATGTAGTAGTGGTTCATGACCCAGCAGAGAATTAGCGCACATCAACAAAGGAAATAAGTTGTATCTAGCTCTTACTTAAAACTCGAGTTCTTATCCAAATGGTATACACCAGATGTTTCTTCTCACTCTCTCTGTGAACTTTTTCTTCGCTGGAATTTCCATTTCTTCTACCTCAAATCAGAGCGGTTGAAATCAAACGGATGGTAGGTAGCGTGTTAGTAGTTCCTTGCTCTGTTCCTGATCTCTATGCACATCATTGAGTTTTTTTTTGCAGTACCTTATAATCTTTACTCTCTGCACCCCTTCCAACTCTATTAGAAAACAAGCATTTATTTGGATACGAGAACTTAAGCACACGAGATCTCTTTTTTCTCCCCCGCCCCCCTGAAAAATATTTTCAGCAGATGAGATCTCTCCTGCTGCTCCTAATCACGGAACAAGGGATGCAGAAGTTGACACGGCTTGCATATATATATATATATTGAAACTTAGCACGACATTTGTATTGACAAGTGTTGAATAGAGATTCTCTGAGAGTGAAATCACCCCCTTTTCCTAGTCCGACTTGTGAAGGTTGTGGAGAATATACAAGGATGCAGAAGACAGGAAGATGCACACGGAATAACTAAGGAGATCCAAGCCTGTTGCTATCACCACCATTTTGCTTCTCTCGAACATCTTTACCAGGAGAATCATCACGATAACGTGGCCAACCTTCGTCTTCAGCTCATCGAGGGAACTGATTTTCATCCATTTTGGCCTCTCCTGAACAAATAACAAATAATTATTATTACCATCGTTATCGTTGGTGAGGACCTAGATAATGACCCGCAGTGTTCGTGCTTATGAGTCGACTAATACAAAAAAGTGATTCGCTTCCAACTTTATTTATTGCTTGCTTGCTCCTTTTTCCTTCTTTAACCTACAGTGAGGTCCGAGAGGAACACACGGAACTTAAAAACTACGAAGGCATTTGAAGTTTTCGGAAGGGTAATTTAGATGCAAGTAAAGGGAGGAATATCCTGAAAATAGAAGCGATTTTGTCTTCGAAAGAGAAACGTGATCAGAGTTGTTAGCTAAGGAAATCATTTTTTTTTTAAATGTATGTATGTATATACGGTTCTATCTATTACCTTAAGAGCAAACATTCCGAACAGAGAAGAGCCCTTGAGCGCGCGGTCTAAATCAGCAGGTATTCCGGGAGGGGAATTGCTGATGAACAATCCGTACAAACCCATACCAAATATCAACATAACAGTGCCGGCGAGGTACACGTCTGTCAAGGGGAAATGAAAACCACGGGAAGATTAAATAAATAAAAATAATGGCAACTTGCTGAAGAAATCCGATGGTGAGAGGAGGAGGCTGCTAGCTTATAAAATGAGCTTGCGAAAAAAGATTTTATTTTTTTTTCCCACCACATACCGATAGCCTCGACTAATCGCAGGACCATTTGGCCAGTGTGAACTCCTCTCGTACAGCTTGTCCAGTACACCTTGTACGCGTCGACTATGTAAATACAACCCTGTCCAACATGACCGGGGGGAAAAAAAAAAGAAAAGGTGTTAGTTTCCAGTAGTTATTAGTAGTTAGGTTTTTTTTGTTTTACTACTGGAAATCATTTTTATTAAGGGAACCTACGTACGTTCAGAAAGCACAAGAGGGAGCCCCCAGTGAGCCACCAACAGCGAGAAGAGCCAAGAAGCGGAAGTCAAAAATCACCTGCTCGATCAACAACGCCACACACACAGGCCGCAAGTTAAGGTTAGTACGGACAGCATTGGGTCGGGGATGGAAAATCCAGGGCCAAACGGCGGTAGTAAAATGATGGGAAATTAAGAAGGTGACCAGGGATGAGCGCGCACCCTCTCAATCGCGGATTCTGGAGCGAGGTCCACGAGGGCGCTGTTGCCGGAGGCAGGGGAAGAATAGCGCGGCGGCGAGCTTGTAACCGGAGCGGGTCGCCGCCGCCGCTGTTGACGACGACGAAGGGTCCAAGAAGGAGCGGCAGCGGAGGGAGAGTTTGGATGATGATGGTGGTGTGAGGGCGAGCTCGTAGCAGGGCAGGGGGTGCGCGACCGATGACGACGGCAGCCGACGACGGATCAGGCTCGGACCTGCGGCGGGGCTTTGGCTTTGACTTCGCTGGCCCATTGGATGAGAGGGGATGCGCACGGTGGCCACGGTCAGCGATGCCATCATGATTAAAAGATCTAGAGACCGGGGGGGAGGGAAGCGAAGCGGATGAGAGGAGATGTATATTGTGCGCGAATGAGCGGTGGTGCCGGGGTTTTTGCACGTCCCTGTCAACTTCGGATATTTTTCTTTTTTTTTCGTGTTGCTATTTTAACAAGCTCTGGGCTTCGCTGGCTTACTGTTTTTTTTACTAAAAGCCGGAACGACGAACGCCTTCCATCTGCAGTTTTCAGTCAAATGCTGCTGGGCTTAAGACTAGGACTGGTGGCCGCAGGTTTACGCATCAGGATGAGCGAGGAAGTAGACTGATTTCATAGGGGAGGAGGAGAAAAAACAATAATAATAATCTCGCAAAAGCATTAACACATCATATAAACAAACCACAGTCTAATCTCACAAATTCTAAAGCCAGCTCGCTACAGGTTCTGACAGAGTGATTACATTCATACCGCTTACTCCATATATTTCTTTTTTTTTTGTTTCAATCAAAAATTTGGACCTTTTAGTTTCTCCGCTCATCATCGAGCGTCTTCTCTCTGTGAGCATCGACCTTGCTGTATACATGGAGATTGCAGATTAAAAGTATAGTTAGACCGTCGCGGAGGGCTTGTAGTCAAGCATTCCTTTTATGTTGAGTTTTAATGACGGGCCCATCGATGAGCAAATATGCGCGCTCTTCCAGTATACTCCTTTTGCACCGGAGGGCTTGTTTGTTTCCACAGATCTCTGCAACAGGTAAACGATAAACAAGCATGTATCAGTTTGCATTGGTCTACGACACGCTGAGAGTTTTTACTAGGCACTCGAAGGATGATAGGGGAAACATACAATTGCTGCCATTAAGTTAGCAATGAGATCTTCATCGGGAAAGTTTGCCTTTCCGAAAGGCAGGTGAACAATCCCAGTCTTGTCTACTCTGTACTCTACCTTCCCTTTCTTGAACTCTTGGATAGCCTGAAAAAGAATAAGAGAGCTCCATGTTAATTTTACCCTATAGCATTCAAAAAGACCCAAACATTTGGGATAAAAAAAGGCTTGGTGGTGGTTGTTGTCTTCCTCCATTCAAAAAGAGAGACTTCCAAAATTGAACGAGTGTTAAACCAAAATATAACCAGCCTGCTCACAATTTTAAGACACAAGCGTTTATTTAAATGCTGATAACAAAACTCACTAGAAAAGCAGCCGAAAGAATGCATGTAATAATCAATTTCTGACTAAAATTTTCGACTAACAAGAAGAGATATTTGGCGTGTATCACAAGACCTTAAATAAGGAGAACATCAGATGAGATAAGAGAAACAAATATCCTTAAATTATGCATGAATCGGATGATTACACTAGATGAATGCTGATACATGGTTAATGATTATCATAGGATGATACATGGTTATTGGTTATTGTAGGGCTCACAATCTTGTACAATCCACAGATGCCGGTTACACCCTTCATGAGTCAAATTTGCATCCCATACATTATTATCATTGTAAGAAAAATAGAGAATGCAGAGTTATTATTTCATCTAATCTTAATCTCTCTTAATAGAGATTAGGAGGGTTCCATAAGCGGATATGGATATCGGCCCAATTACCCAAATACCCAAATACTCAAACATATAATATCATCTAACAGTCATTTTAGTTGCACACATAATATTGCATGCCGATTACATGGAAATTAAGGATGCAAATAAGTTTATGGTTCCCAAGCTAAAAGGTAAACCCAACACCTAAACAAAGAGAAAAAGGGTGAGCTGTGTCCTCTTTTTTTCCCTGTGCTATATTGTCTCAGCCATATCGTATCAGTTAACTTTATGGACAATTCAAATTTAACATACATACCATCCACTACAATCTACGAACAAGGTCTGAAATCTCAGTATGTCTTGATTTTAGCTTGGTAGTTTCAACAGTTCGAGCGATTTTGGATCAGAATGCATGGTAGAAGCTTTCTATTCATTAGATTCCTTCTTTTGCTTTTTCTCAATAGAACACTGCCAAATATATATTTTTTCAATACTTTTAGACCTTAAATTCTCTCCAGTACTAGTCGTGTGTAGCCAATATTGACCTGTACGAGTCATTATCAACAGATTTAAAAGGACAGAGCTAGAACCTTTTGTAGATGTCAATATCGGTCTAAAATAATCAAGTCAATATAGCTGTCAATGGAAATGCAGTAAAAATAAGAGCTTTATGCCACCGGAGATGTTAAAAAAGAGCACATAATCAACAGGAAAGCAATGTTAGAAGATTGTTGAGATTAAATTACAGAAATTACAAATGAAACAACTTTCTCCACAACGCTCGAGTATTACCTGAGGTATATCTGTAGTGACTGTACCAGCTTTAGGATTTGGCATGAGTCCACGTGGTCCTAGAATTTTTCCCAAACTTGCGACCTAAAAAAAAGTCGTAAATATAAAGAATGAATAACAGTGAATGAAACTTTGTAAAGTGTATGGAGAATGCACAAAAAAAAAAGACAACGAGCTATTCAAAATTTTTGATTAAAATTTTCTCCCATTTTATAGATTTCTGAGAAAGGAACATAATGTAAAACTCTCAATAAAAGAAAATGGGAAAAACCAGCCTTAAAAAGCATTTGACTGGACAAATAAGAAAAACTGAGCTTATAGAACATAACCACAAAAGTTTAAATGGTAGCTGAAAAAGTCTGATGCACTATCTGACCATTGATAAGTGAAACAATCAACTACATATAGGAATAGCAGGTTCTGCACTAAAACAGAACAAGCGCACAAAAAGATTGGCATCCCTTTTAGTTATACAATGATGACTGTTTAAAAATACAGGCAATTAGCTAAATGGTTATAGAGGGGGAAAAAGTTTGTCAAAGGTGAAATACTTGGGTAAGACAAACATCTATCACAAGATTTCCAAGTAGTCTCATTAGAAGGGTCATTTAAATCTTAAAATAACAGTCTCATTAGATGGATCATTTAAATCTTAAAATAACCATTTAACACAACTAGCATTATTGCACATGTAAATGCACGTGAAACAGATGCGAAAACTTAATCATCCCAAATTTTATATGAAAGGGGTACTTAAAGTAAAGTTTCAACGAGTTTCTAAGATATTTTTATGATATTTTATTCCATTGGAGATGAGTTATTTTATGTTACCTTATTTGAAATTGGGCATAATATATATTTCACTACTGGTTATGTGATCTTAATGAAAGAAAATAGGGTACCTGTATCATCATAATTTGGTGGATTATTTTCAAACTATCATTCTAAGAGCACTTTAAATAATGTAAATAAGAGGAGTATGTTTCATATTTTATCATCAAATATTACATTTAATTATTTCTAACATTTAGATATATTTTGACTTTCAATAATATTAGATTAATACATATGGAAATTCCAATTATTGTATTTATATTCATTCATATCCAATAATTTATTTTAGAAAAGAACATTCTCACTTTATATTTATATCTCCTACAACACATATTGTAATCTATTAGTAAGCTCTAATTGTAGATTCATGTTACAGTTTAGCATGTTCTACAAAAAGTAAAGAGAACAGAAAAAGAAAGGAAGGGAAAAATTACCTATATACCTCTCACAATTCTATTGGGATGTAAATGTCCTTCAAAAAAAATTTTTTTTCCCCCCCCACCCCCCCACCCCCCAAAAAAAGGAAACACACACACACACACACACACACACACACAAAGTTTTTAACATAATAGTATAGATATTGTATATGCTGGATAGAAAACCAGTAAAACGCGTAGGGTTATAAAGTAGCATAATGAATTCAACATTGAGGTAACATACTTTGGGCATCATATCTGGAGAAGCTATAAGTTTATCGAACTCCATGAATCCTCCCTTGATTTCCTGTATTAAATCTTCTCCACCAACTATATCAGCTCCTGCATTTTTCGCTTCATCGATCTTTTCACCTGTAAAGTTCCAGTACAATGAGGACCAAATATTAGATATTTATTGAAAGTTCAGCATAATAATAACTGATAAATTTACAATGCTATTGTAGGAGAATAATCTAAGGGTACCGTTGCAACTTTACACCAAACAATTAATCATGCTGTGAAACTGTTAGTCTAGACTCCCTAGACAGGGAAATTTAAAGAATTTCCTTGTTGCAAGAGCATGCTCCGCATAAATTTATGACCCAAGTTTGTCCCCACTATAGGGCAATCTACGTTTGAATGCAATCAGCATCAATCATAGGGTTAAAATGTTGGTGACTGTTTTCCTCCATTCAAACCTTGATCCTGAACTCCTTCATATTATACATTCATCCCAATCGTAGATGTTGTGCATGGTGATATGCCAGCAGGGAAATATCAAATATAGTCTTCCTTGTAATCCCTTGAAATCATGGCACTTGAGCAGTTATCAACCTTCCTGGAAGGACACCTCTGGTCAAAATTGTATGTACTTTTTAATTTAGGCATGTCATCAAATGCTTCTCAAGATCGATTTTACAATATTTCTCATGAACTTCTTTCATATTTGTTACATGTCAAGAGACTCAAGACAGGTGTTTGCTTTCATTTATATATGAATGGAAAGGGATGTTGAAACAGAAGCTGGTTTATAAAAATACATTACCGACATAAGACTCAGGAAATGAGATAAAGTAATTTAGTTTGTAAAGCTATTCTATTAAAGGATGAAGTTCTAACACTTCTCCCCAGCAAAATGTCAAAAAAAAAAAAAGTGTGACGTCAATTGTTAGCATATGTAACCATTATCTGATATTCTATTATTAGAAACATGTTTCCACATTTTAGTGTGAAGATCCGTCCATATTTTTTCGCACATGTGCAAATACATATGTGCGTTTCTCTTCCCCTTCCACTCGAACACGCCAATGGTCACATAGTTAGAAAACTGATAGAATCATGATTATGGAAATAACACAAGAATATTTTCAACTCTTTTTTAATCCTAGACTGTGTAGCGGGAAGGAAACCCTTATGCCCTAACACCAACAACCCTTAAACCTCACATTTAATTTAACAGTCTAAAAGAATGGATATAACACAAGAATAAGAAACACAGCCAAAGAGGTCAGAGAATAATTTGCAGTTGAGGTAAAACTTGCATGCTTCATCTACAGAAACAAGCGGCATCACACTGTATACGGCTAGGTTTCAACTAGAAGCTGAATTAAGTTAGGTTCGTAAGGCTGATCACATCTGATTACACACCTTGAGTAAGAACGGCCACTTTCACAGTCTGTCCTGTCCCCTTGGGCAGATTCACCTACATGTACACAGGCACGTTGGAAGATAAAATAAGCCTCGACTCGCCTCAAAAAGAATTTCTTTCTAGCTTTGAATTTTAGGAAAGTGAAGAGAAACAGAATTAGGACGGAACTGTGGCCCTCAGCTGCTGATCATTGTACTTGGGATCAATGTTCAGCCTGAAATGAGCCTCTGCTGACTCCACAAATTTGGTGCTCGCAGTTTGCTTGAGAAGGGATACGGCCGTGGGGATATCATACTCCTCCTTGCTCTCCCTCAGCTTCTGTACCTCCAAGAACCTCTTCGACCGAGTCTGCACCCACCGAGGCCAACAACATCAGACATCAGATCGGATGTACCTCCAAGAACCTCTTCGACCGAGTCTGCACCCACCGAGGCCAACAACATCAGACATCAGATCGGCCCACTTAAATTACACACACAACCGGGGGTCAGCTTCTGTCTAATGCTTTGCTGGGGAATATATGTATATTATTTATCACGCCGGTAAAAATTTAAAGGAAATTGTACGGAGAAGACCCAATTTCAACCCAGAACCTAAACGGATTTAAACAAATGGGCAGGGCACCAATCGTTTGAAAGTAGGATTTACCCTGTCCCTTTTGAGGGGCAAAGCGGCCTTTCCCTTCTTGGGCTTCGTCGCAGGAGCAGCAGCAGCAGCAGCAGCGTCGCCTTCGTCGGTGTCATCTTCAGCGAGTTCGGCCTCGGCCACGGCAGCAGGAGGACGAAGGCTGACTCTCTTGGAGGTTAATGGGATGAATGGTTTTATCGTGAGATGGAGGGAGGCTGGGGAGAAATTGTGGGAGCGGAGGCGGAATGGGTTAGTTTTTGGGTGCGAGCGAGAAGAGGAGAAGGAGGACAGTTCAGGAGCGGCGTTGCTGCTGGTCGGAGGGGTTGAGCGGGGTGGGAGGAGCGGCAGAGGACGTGCGAGAGGCTGCGTGTGATGATACTTCGTTCGTTCGTTTGTTTTCTGGTTTCGTGAGGGGTAGTGGGTGGAGGGGGATAAGGCTCTCTCGGTTCTCTTTTGGGGAGCTCGGCTTTTGCTTCTCCTCTGCAAGATAGATAAACCTGTCGGGCTGTTATTGGACCTGGGCGAGAGCCCATTGTTTTTGGGCCAGCTGTGATCGCAATAAATTTATTGAAGAAATTTTCAAAATCGCATCAGCAAAAATTTTGTTTACAAAAACTCGACCCCGTTCAAGTACCGTAATTAACTCAAAGTGGGTCGATTTTTATAATTAAAAGTGAATGTGGTCGATTTCTTTAAAAAGAATCCCGTTAAGATGATTTTGAAAATTTCTTCAATAAATTTATTTGTTATTTAAAGATGGATGACCTTTTGCTACAGACAGGGATGACGGGTTTTCCAATATTCTTGGTTGCTTAATGATAGATCGGGCTATTGAACCGTTAACAGGATTATTAAGTATAGGCTTTTACCTACGAAACCATAATAAGGAAATTAAAAAAGAGGATCAAACGTGGTTATAATGCGCAGGTCAGTACGTGCACTGCGATAGGAAGATGGCGAAAAGGAAATTGAAAAATACCACAGCGTCAATTTCACGGGCTTTTATACGAGACATCAGAACGCAGGACATAATCCTAAGCAGAAACTTTAATTTGCTATTTAATTACAACTCCATTGAAACCCCACGGTTTTCTCCGCGAAGTTGAGCGTGCGTGCAGCATCCACCTGCGGAGCAGAAACCACATGAAGGGGAAAAAAAACCCGAGAAGAGGACGCAATTCATGGAAAAGGCAGCGCCAAGATTCTGGCGGACAGAGTAATAACTAGTTATCGCGGAATAGGAAAGAAAAGAGAAGCATAAGAGAATATGCCAAGTCACACGTTCACCGGGAAGAAAAGGCACATATTACATGCAGAAACAAAACTTAAAAACCGTAAGCAGCTGATCGCCAACGGCGAAAATGTCTTTTAACATAAACACGCAAGGGCAGAAACTAAGATATCCAGCACATGCCCTTAATCTTGTAGGGATATCTGAGTAAACGAGCTGGGAAAAAAAACGATTGCAAGAAGTGACAGTTATCAACTTTGAACGTGAGTGAAGCTTGATGGATCATCCAGAATTACAATTCAACAGACATGAATGAAAAGGTGAGGTATTAATTTATTTCCCTTGATACGAAAAAGAGCAAGAAGACGCATGAGCACCGTGCTTTAAATGACTCAAATGGGAAAAAAATGGCCAGCTCAAATCAGATGGCATCTCACAAGATAAAAGTAGGATCTGAAATAACATCAAAGAAAACCGCTGAGCATCCAGGCTCTCTTTCATTTGTTTGCCACGATAAATTCCCTGTATTCCTTCTTCATTTTAACACCAGACACAGACCTGCACACAACAAAAGCACAAGGCCAGGTTACAACGGCGCTTTCAGACACCTCAGTCTAAGATATGAGCTGCATAATATGCATAATAAGTATGAAAATCCATGAATATTAAGATGTGAAAGCACCACCACTGACAGAGCCTTTTCCATGGCTACACCAGTTCTTTTCTTCCATTTAGATCCATGGCTACACCCTCCTCAGGGCCTTTAACAGATATTAGCTTTTGAAGGTGCAAGAAACCTCTTGGTGTGAAACCACAAAATCCTAGAAGATGTGGTTCCTTTTCTTTTTCTAAGGGTGTGATTCTTTTTTGTTAAGATGTGTGTCCTTTTCTGAGGGTGTGATTCTCTTTTGGTAGAATGTGTTTCCCTAATTTATCGCCCTAGAAATGCTTTTAGATTCTTTTCCAAAGTTCTCCAGTTCCAAACCTATTCTTCATTACCCAGCTAAATAGTAGATGGGAGTCGAGCTCTCAGAAAAAGAGGAATTTGTACTCTCAAAAACCCAGATACAAATCACATGCAATCAACTCATAGAATTTTATCAAAATCAAATCAATCAACTCATAGAATTTTATCAAAATCAAATCAATCTCTCCATATAAAAGCTGAAAATTAGAAGAGTATTTATAGACCAGAGGCCTTAATTCAATTTTCAAATCAAATAACTATTCTCAAGTCAAATACCTGATCTGACCTCAAATCAAATACTTGATAGTAGACTAGTTATGATTTCCCCAATCCAAATAAACTAGAACTCTTCAATGAGATGACGTTTAGACTCTGTTTTCAATTCCCCAAAGTTGTGTGCATCATACGTGCATTCAAGAAATGCTAGATAGTTGAATTAGCAAGGCAACATGGTTCTAAGAGTCTTTTCTTACTTGATCATTTCCTTATTTTTGAAAAACTGCACACACGGTGTTCCCATAATTCCTGCCGCTTCTGCAATTTCGGGATCCTCCTCTATGTCAATTTCAACAAAATGTACATTCTGATCAAATTCATCTATCACCTGCACATAAAAGAAATTGATGATTGATTACCATATTCTTTAACCAGACAAGTACGCATACGTATAAACTGATCAATAATATGGTGCATTTTGACAGATACTTGTCTGGTTATATACAGGAGGTATATAGGGGCTTCATATCTAACTTTTGACAGAATTGACCTGATTATTTGTTTAAAACCTCTCTATACAATGAACATTTGAAATGATATAATTGGCCAAGAGCACAATAACATAAATGTCATAAAATGATTTTAAGATCCTAACACCATGCACAATTATAAGCCAAAACAAAAAATTTACTAAAATGAAATGCGAGTAGTAATTTTTAAACAACTAAATCACAAACATAAAGAATATCCAAAATACAATGTCTCAAATATCTAAAAAGTACAAGTCACTGCTGACTGAAAAAAATCAACTATGTTAATCCCGTCAAGCACAACTTGCTCTGTGTCATTCACAAAACTTTTAGCAAAAGGCATATAAGCAGTTGCAAACTTGCAAAATTGGCAACAATTGCATGCTATGAACGCTCTTGAACGCTCTTAAACTATGAAAAACTGCACAACACACGGTGTTCCCATAATTCTTGCTGCTTCTGCAATTTCGGGATCCTCCTCTATGTCAATTTCAACAAAATGTACATTCTGATCAAATTCATCTATCACCTGCACATAAAAGAAATTGATGATTGATTACCATATTCTTTAACCAGACAAGTACGCATACGTATAAACTGATCAATAATATGGTGCATTTTGACAGATACTTGTCTGGTTATATACAGGAGGTATATAGGGGCTTCATATCTAACTTTTGACAGAATTGACCTGATTATTTGTTTAAAACCTCTCTATACAATGAACATTTGAAATGATATAATTGGCCAAGAGCACAATACCTTGCCCAGTATAGGTTTCAATGTCCTACATGGACCGCATGTTGGTGCAGTATATAGAACACATATTAGCCTCGGGCTTTCGTGATATAACTTCCTTAGAGCGTACTGCAATATACAAGTTCAAAGTTAAACTATCTGATGGACAGCATAAACAGCATCATACTCTCAAATAGATGACAAACACCATATCATTTTAGAGGATTCCAGCTTCTAGAACGATAAGTCATTAATTATGTTTATAATTACCTGGCCCTTGTGCTTCGTACGTGTAATGTCGAAGCCCATTTGCACGTCCTTATCTGAAAGTTCCTTCTTTTCCTCTTCACGTACAGGCTGTTGATAAAACAAATATGTAAAAAAGTGCTCAGTTAAGAGCCGGTGTAACTTCAAACTACTGTAGGTAGGAATAAACGCAAACACATGCATTATAGCAAATTTGCTTATAATTTAGTGCCAAACTCATGCTGAAGAAACATTAAATCCCTTTTTAATAAAAGCATATAATAAAGGATCAGGAGCTGCATATATTTTTAGATGAACTATGGTAAACGTCCATGAACAAATTGAGCGTATTAGAAGCATATTACCTGGTGAAATTCAATAAGAAGATCATTGGTCATGTCCATGAACAAATTGAGCGTATTAGAAGCATATTACCTGGTGAAATTCAATAAGAAGATCATTGGTCACCAAATATCTCTCAACAGATAAAGCAGAAGCATATTACCTGGTGAAATTCAATAAGAAGATCATTGGTCACCAAATATCTCTCAACAGATAAAGCAGCTATACATCCAGATCCAGCAGCAGTTACTGCTTGCCTCCACTCATGATCCTAGCAGCAAAATTATTGAATATTGAAAATTTATGGACAACATATTTAGGAGTAGCTCAAAGCAACTATATAATAATACTTGCCCACTACTAATCAGACTTACCATCAGAAGTGTAGCAGTTTAAGGAGTCTGATGAATAGCGATATACTGCCAACAGAAAGCTAAGGGAAAAAATGGAAATTACCTGAACATCACCAGCAGCAAAGACACCTTCCACAGAAGTTTTAGCAGCACCCTCTTTGACCAAAATATAGCCAGCGCTGTCCAGTTCAACCTGACCTTCTAGCAACTGGCTGTTTGGAGTATGACCTATACCATAAAATAGACCTTTCACTTCTAGAACTGACTGCTCTCCAGTATCAACTCTTTTTAATAGTATGCCAGACATCTGGCCCTTGCTATTGCTGACGACATGACTGCTCTCCAGTATCAACTCTTTTTAATAGTATGCCAGACATCTGGCCCTTGCTATTGCTGACGACATCCGCAGCCTCAGTGTTGAAGTGCATTTAATAGTATGCCAGACATCTGGCCCTTGCTATTGCTGACGACATCCGCAGCCTCAGTGTTGAAGTGCACTGTAAGATTCGGATTGTTGAATACTCTGTGAAACATTCGCCATAATCAACCTGTTAAAAAAACATTCAGGAAATTGAAATTTTACCATCATTAAAAGTTGTACTGACAGATTGATATGAACATGCAATTCTTTTAGACAAGGGGAGAAAAGGAACCCTAACCAATCAAGAAATATAGGAGTATATGCCTAGTTTTCAATCAATACGATGCTATATCTTCCAAAAACAGTGCAATTGACCTGAATGGACCTCTTTCTACAACCCTCATTTTACCTAAGTAATTGTATAAATTAAAGCATGCTTATGTTTTTTAAGTTTTTACAATTATGCTTTCTTCATGATGTGAATGTATAATCTTACATACGGACCACTTGTACACTCATGATGCCATAATGATGCCATGCCACTATATAAAATCTTTTTGTGGCATGATGCCAAAAATGAAGGTTCGACACTTCAATAGATGCTGATCAGATTCTGGCTTGAGACCACTTTTCACCGCCTAAACATGTTGTAAAGTCATTATAGAACATACTACATAACATTCAGCCACCTGGAAGAGGGGTTGTTGCTGCACATATAAAGCATAACTTTTAGGTCCCTCCACAATACTCAACCTTACTTAAATTTACCGTTATTTTAATAGTTTTTGAATGTCAGTTTGTAGTGAACTTTTAGGTCCCTCCACAATACTGTTATACAGTTCATGGATATTCTTGCATTTCACGTATAAAAAAAATTTGCGAAGATTAATAGTTCATTACAAGTACACGATATTATTATCATTCAACTTTGTAACAGACGCAATTACACTGACAATATCATGCAAAAATTTCTTGTGTTATAAAAACCAAGCATAGGGGACTAGTGTACTATGTCCCTCGTTATGATGCAAGAGGTTCTTGTTCTTCAGAAGTCCTTAAGTTCTAATATGAATGACTATTGAATAGAGGCTTCTTCCTAATAGTTGAAAAACCTTCAATCTATTGGACAAAAGAAATGCAAAATAAAACACATGAAATTTTTTGAAGAGGGGGCAATTATGACTGATGTATGTCATCTTTTTAAGCAGCATATTTTGGTTATGTATTGCAACTAATAGTGAGAAGAAATGACAAAGTTTACATCTAGTCACCTGTCCTGCATAGCTTTTGATGCTCGCAGTTGATTTCTCCGAACAAGAAGATGCACATGTCGAGCATATTTGGTAAGATACAATGCTTCCTCGGTAGCTGTATCACCTCCTCCTACAACTGCAAGAACTTGACCCTTAAATAGTGGTGATGCCCCATCACATATTGCACAAGCACTTATTCCCCTACTCCAAAATTCATCTTCACGTGGTAATCTAAGCCTTTTAGCAGTAGCTCCTGTAGCCACAATCAGAGTATGACATTTCACCTAAAATAAACAAATTATAAAAATTAGAAACAAATCATAAAATCAAGCAGACAAGTTGCAAGAGTGGATTTAACTTATATGCTCATGTTGAACGGAATCATCAAAGACAGGCATTTAATGAGATAAAACAAGATTTCCTTTGCATAGCTAATGGCGTGTCAAATGTGATATGACTTCTAAAGCAAGCACAAAAAGAGACTTAATAACATAGGCAACAATGCTATGCGTGACTCCTTGGGTCTATTGCATACAAAAACGAAGTATTGGTAACAGCCACTAAATCCCATTTCGAAATGTCTCAAAGCCTTGGGTAGTAAAAAAAAGTGGGATGTTGTATTTCCAGGATTGGATTTCATACTCGAATAAACCTTGTAATCGTAAGAAAGTCGGTTTTTTCGCTATGGGCCTAGCAAAAGAAAAATTAAGATAGGTTCCTATTGGATTCCCCCCTTAAAAATCGGACGTGAAGGTTTCCTCTCATCCGGCTCAAGTAGTTACACCAAATAAAGAAGGGAGTTCTTTTTTTTTTCTTTGTTCTTAAATTTCTTAGTTATATTAGTAGATGTTTATCAATAACCACAGTACATGCAGCGAAAGTATGACAATACTTTTATAGTAGAAATAATTAGAAATGCCAATAAAGATAATTGATATTGTTCTTATAAGCTCCAAAGAGGATTAATGTAATGTCGGTAACCATATAAGTACAAAATACTCCATCCAATAAAAAAAAAGTTGTTAAACATATGAGAATACCTCATCTGTAACAAAGGAAACAGCAGAGTATTGACTATGACATTTAACCGACAAAGGTGACAAAAGTGGGGCCCCAGAATTAGGATCCTAGCTGCCTAGTTATCTTCAGCTTTGAAACAGAAGGCATGTATCCATGTATGTAAATACCATTCTGTACTAGATCACGTTATGATTCTCACTACCCATATAACTCTATGATCAGCTAAACTGCAATGCTTGCAATCTATCATAAATCTCCATTCGCCTATTTGCAGCACCACTTGTTGCTTTCTACAAACTGTTCCCTGTAATGCCTCTACATCTGCTAAGATTTGTTTGGGCCTCCTTACTTTAGATGAATATGATACAATTTTAAGTGTGATCTGTAGATATCACCCTAGTTTTTGTTGGCCTCAGGCCCTTTTCATATGCTTGCTAAGCTGAAGCCTCATCAGACATATTGGAGATTTTATTAAATTTTTTTTCAATCTAAATGCATTTACAAATACTAACACTTTCCAAATGAGGGGGATCTTCCTGCCACAATGGACCTTCCCTCACACCAGTCATCTACTTGCACATCTCAACAGAAAGATTGCCAAGAACATCATTATCTTCATACCATGTGATGTATTTTTCTCATCTCTTCTCAGTGAGTATCAGGTAAGGTAGCTAGCGCTTCGTATCGCAATCCCTCCACTACTTATCTGAAAGATCTCCTAAAAGCAGTTATTTCTAGTTGTTTCTCCACAATAAACAAAGCATGACTTGATACCTGAGTCTTAAGGATAAGAAGAGAAGAAATGAAATTCATATTCTATTAAACGGAGAAAATGACAAAAAAACATGCATTACCCACATATTGCCTATTGGACTTACTGATTTGGTCAGCTGAGTGCCCAAATAATGATGCTTGCAGTTACAAATCTCCAAAGAGAAGTCTAAATAATTATGGAGAAATATGCTTAGAAAATAGCATTCACCTCTCTTTCACTGCTCCTGATAGTAAATGGGTGATTCCTCACATCAATTGATTCAACGTCCTCTTGAAAAAGTTCTGCACCCCACCTTTCAGCTTGCCGCCGCATCCTAATAATGAAATGACAATGAGACAGTTAGCACATCGGTATGGAAGGACCACCGTACAATCTATAGGCTGCTTATAACATTAATATATCATCCACAAGAAAGAAAATGTTTAACTGGATAAACCATATATGGTGTATACCTATCCATCAAATCAGGACCAGTTATTCCATCAGGAAACCCAGGAAAATTTTCAACTTCAGTTGTAGTCATCAACTGTCCTCCTGGAACACCACCTATTTGATACCCTTCGAACACTAGAGGCTTCAAATTTGCACGTGCCGCATAAATTGCAGCTGTGTATCCAGCTGGGCCAGAGCCTATGATAACTAAATTCTCGACTCCTGCATAAGAACCTGCAAGAAGTGTTCAACTATCAACTCTACATATAAATAACATTTCTAGTTCAATTTATCATAAGGAAGATGCCTTCTAATACTTTAAAGATACCTACAACAACAACAACAACAACAACAACCAAGCCTTTATCCCAAATGTTTTGGGTCGGCTACATGAATCCTATTTTTCCATTCCATTCTGTTGCGGGTCATTTCCTCCGTTACGTTAGTCTTAATCATATCCTTCTTAATTGCTTCTAAACAAGTAATTCTAGGTCGGCCTCTAGATCTCCTAGCCCCATTAATTCTAATATTATCAATTTTCCTAATCAGTGCACTACGGGGTCTCCTTTGTACATAACCAAATCATCTTAATCTATTCTCTCTCATTTTATCCTTAATAGGCGCAACCTCTAATTGACTACGGATGCATTCATTTCTTATCCTATCTTTTAATGTATACCCACAAGACCATCACAACATTCTCATTTCTGCTACACTCATTTTTTGAACATGTTGTTTTTTAATTGCCCAACATTTTGCCCATAAAGCAACTTTAAAATACCTGACAAACATAAATGTTTACATGGTTAAATCTCAATAATCCTTAAAATTGACATACATAATCGATCAAAAATAACAAGTACCAAATGTTTACATTAATCTGCGATACGATCAAGGGAAGAAAAAAGTGCACAAGACCCACTAATGACTGCAAAAGATGCTAATGCGACTTCCAAGAAGCAAAAGTCCCTAATATTTCCATGAAGAAAAGAACACATATGCACAAGATAAATGAGAGCAGAAAGGAATATCGATGAAGGAACAAAAACTTATAATAACAAAATCTAACTCACTACTAGCACCAAATGCTCATAGCTACAAAATATAGAAAGTATAAACATTATGCCGAATCGTGAAACAGGAGAACAATAAAATATGCCTTCTTTTGGCATGTGTTACGACAATGTGGAACTATTATTATTTTCTCAATTACGTAGATTTGCCTTTTTTGTAAAGTACATATAATATGTAAGGCAACAATATTAATACATCTCGAGAAGGAAATTACTATGGGTATAACAGAGGATATCAGGCTTTCAATTAACCACTGGAGAACAGGTTAAATATTGAGGCGAGCATAGCATGCAAATTTTGAAGTGGAACCACAATCAGAGGTTGTGATTATTCTTAATACTATATCCGAATCCAAGATAGGCAATTGATAAGGACCAAATGCACACACCCGGACATATAGTTACTCGAACGCAAACCAAAAAGTTACAAGGCCATCTTCAAACATCTCCATCCATGGATTTCAGATCTATGCATTCCAGGATCTCAATTCAAATATACATTTGAAAAAATGGTTTGCATTGTGTCAATGTGCACACTATTAATGGATGTAGCCATCTAACTTCATCGTATGTACAACCTATGGTTGCCCTCAAGAGATCTCCCTCAGTTGTGGGCACCACCATAACATTTTTTTAGCAGTCATTTAGATAGTGAAATCATATACGATATCTTCACCACAGGAATATTAGAAACTATAAGATCAAATAGCGGTATAAGAACAAGTGTAATCCAGAACAAATAAAGGGAAACAACTCAGTATTGTAACCGCAAAATAATCTGATGATGGGTTTCAGCGCACGCACATAAACACACACATAACTGGTCATAGATCATCTCAGTTACGTTTCGAAGATCAATTTCCTTTGCAAGTATCCACGGTTCAAATTAGGAATAAGAGGGAACAGACAAGCACACAGTTGGATATTTGGCTTGCAGAGAATGACCGCTACGCCGGCATCATTGCGAAAACCAATCCCGCTTAAGTCAAATTACTGTTCTTATATTTATGAAGATGTTGGCTGGGGGTAAAAAAATAAGCCAAGGATGCACTAGGGACAACGGTAGAGAGTATGTACGACTAGTTTTGACAAGTAACTGACTCATTTAGCAAAGAAGCCTGTTATGGATAAAATCTTTTATATTTAGTTATGGGCGATGAGAGGATGGAAATCACAACACTAGGGTTTCAGACCACAAAATCTTTTATGTTTAGTTATGCCGCTTTGCTTTGGAGATCTAAAATCGATGTGTAGGGATCAAAAGACAAGGCGGAAGCTCCCTCGAGAACAGGATCAATTTCCATTAAACAAACAGATAGATAAAGCCGAGAAGAGATTCGAACCACCTGCGGCAGAAGAAGAAGAAGGAGAAGAGGGCCTCTTGGCCCGAGGCCGCCTGCCCTCTTCATCATGCAGTTGAACATGAGGGGCGAGACACGCGAACGATACGGCGGAGAGGGCGGACGAGACGGCGCGGAAGAGGCCGTAGGGAAGTTCCTCCTACCAAAAAAAAGGAGTGAGAACGTTGATTGGAACGGCCGGAGGAGGGCCGCCATGGAAACCAGCGCCATCCCCATCGCCCTAATTACCGCCATTGAAGTACTGCTCGCTTATCTTCTCTCTCTCTCTCTCTCGCACTCGTTGGCTCCTCCGACCATAAAACAAACAAAACAACAAAAACACCCGAAAGGAGTTATCTCTTTAATTGGCGGAGGGGAGTTGTCGTCTCTTATTTCTCTTATTATATCACCCTATCACCGTAATCGTCATCTATGTATTCCCGACTCCGCCTCCTTTTTCTATTTTCTTTTTTCCAGTTTCATTTTCATTTTTTTTAGGAAAAAAAAATGTGTGAAGGGCTCAAGAGCACTAAGGGGCTGTTTGTTTGCTTTATTTTGAGATGGAAAGGGGGTGAAAACCTGCCAAAATCTGACATTTTGGCAGGTTTTCACCCAAAAAAAAACAACCAAACAGTCCCTAACTTCATGTGCTGCAGCTCCTTCACTTTTCCCCCATGTGGTTCAGCCTCTTAAAATGTGACATCTTGTGCTACAGCTTTTTTTAGCATTTATTACATACCAACTAAGTGAAAATCCTCAAAATGTCCTTATCCCTTCTCCTCAATCCCTCAAACCCTAGCCCTCTCTCTGTCCCTCCTCTCTCTCTCTCTCTCTCTCTCTCTAAAACCAAGAGCTTTCTCAAGCTCGTCGCCCTAGCTCTCGCCCTCCTCGTCGGCGTCGCCTCCGCCCAGGCCCCCGGCGTCGCCCACATCCCAACCCCCAAGCCCTCATCCAAACCCTCACTGAAACCCGCACCCACCCCTACACCTACCGCGGCCCCACCAACCCTCACGAACTGTGTTATTTCTAACTCGGTTCGTGTTCTCCTCTCTCTATAGAGGGTTCTCCGTAGAATCTTTTTCTGGATACTCTGATATTTAGTGTCTTGGAAAAGTCAACTATATCTCTTAGTTATTTTAAGCAGCTGTGTTTACAGTTTGTTTCTCTTTACATGCGATGTTTATTAGCTTCCTTTATTTAATGGTGCATATACCTTCCAGACACCATAGATGTAGCTGGTGGGAGGCAGCAAAGGTCATCATCAGGCTGTGAATGCTAGGATTACAATCCCATGGACTTTGCTCCCACCATTTGTTATCTAGTTAAAATATTTCCAGCGTAGCCCATTATTTGTTGTGTTTATAAAGAGAGTCAAAAAGAAAATAAAAGGAGTATCATGCTCCAAGGAGATTGCGACTAATGTTCAGTGGTTTTATTTTGAGTTGCTCATATTATTTGTTCTGCCACAGACATTTTTAGTTATTTGTGTAGAATCGTGTTTTTTTGCTATCATAAGTTATGCTCTGGAGTTCTCATACTTTGCCTATACTCATGCTTGACCATAACCATAACTTGTGAGGAGTCTGCCATCATATTGTTCAAGAGAAGTGGTAACAGAGTGCCATGTAGTGTTTTGTGAAAGCAGTTTCGATCTTTAAGATATAACTTCTTAAATTTCTTGCGCAATGTTAACTATACTAATTGTAATGAGACTACTTTGATGATTATATGCATGAGAAGTCCAGAATCTTAAGTCAGGCTCTTAACTCGATTCATGTATTAGACCTAACATGAAATTAGACTTAACACGAACTTTTATTAGACCTAACACAGCTAGAACTAACATGTGTAGGCATATAAAATTGCTTATAGGTCCCTTAACACGGCTCAACACGAACTAATGAACCATCGGGCGACGTATCTAAGCACGAACGTCAGTCCACAACACCGAAGCCAAGTGACACGCAACGAAGCGGATTAACAAGGCTATGAAGCTGACGAACCGCACGTGAACGACGGAATGAATCCACTCGCGTGCGGAATCAAACCAACGGTCCAGGGAGTCAACGAGTCATCCAACCTCGAACTCAGACACCAAAGCCGATTTACTTCCAAATCAGGATTCAGAACAAATCGGGGCTCAGAGCAACGCCACAAGCGAATTCGGATGAATCGCGATCGAGTCATGATCAGTTTTGGAATCAAACTCAGAGTCGGATTCATCGCCAAATCAGGAATCAAGTCAATGAATCGATTTCAGACCAATCAACCGCATAACCGAATCACGGACGAAGCGGATACAAGGACCGAAACAACCGAAAGACGGACGCAAAGCCCGGAGTGGCTCGGCCAAGGCCGAGCCACCCTAGGGTGGCTCGGCAGCTTGGAGAGCCGAAACTCTGCCGGATTGAGACCTCATCTTGGAGTTTTTTGAAGGCTTGAAGACTTGGACATTCAGATCTGATTCTTGGCGAGCACCCGCATCACAAAAGGTAGGAGTTCGAGGGGATCGAGATCTCAGATCTACGTTGTTACACTCCGGATCAAAGCTTGGTCTTTGATCCCGAGATTCGAGCGATTGTTTCCTTGGTGAAATAATCCCTCCGGCTATTATTTCCTTGGTGAAATAATACCCGTTATACTGCGTAGATCTGCTCGGATCTAGATCGCGCGGTGGTCCACGGCAAATAACCCCGGCGCAGGCAAACAACCTACCAAAGCGAGCGACCGCAAAACAGGAGCTCGCGATTTGTTCGACAAAAGAGAAAAAGTTGTAATTTTTAATTTTCTTTATTTTTGATTTTCATGTAACCGGATCTAAAAAAAGACCGTATCTTCTGTAACCGAAAAACTGTTATTCAAGATAGCAATGGAATCAATGAAGAAAGCAACGATTTTCCCCGTGAACAATCTGGCGACCACAGTGGGAGCCACCGATCTCGCTGCCGAGATCGGAGCGTCGCAGCCGCGGATCTCGATCCCGGTCGTGGAGGAGGTCGAGTATGAGTTCGACCAGCAGAAGTACGAGGAGTACGTGTCCTCGTCTGGATCAACCTCCCCCCGTAAGTCCAAGAAATTCCAGAAGTTCTCCTCCAGGAGAAAAGTCCGTTGGTGCGAAGAAGTTGAAGCCACCAACGACAACCTCACCCCGATCGACGCCGAAGTTGCGTCGGGTGAAGTCCCATCGGCCTCTAAGCAGGTCAAATCCGCCTTCGAAGGCGTGGTGACTCTCTCTAAGAGAGCTCGCCAGAGGCAGCGTCAACGCCTCGCGAAGCAATTCGCCAAGGCCATGGAGTCTGTTGACGGGGTCCGCTACAATGCGGATCTGAAGAACAAATGAGGCAAACAGCCTCAACATCAAGTGAAGAGTGGTTCCTCCAAGCCATCAACGATGGAGTGGGTCCGGGTCAAACGGAACCGTACGACGCTGGAGGAGCGTATCAGCAAGCGCCGCGCATTATCGGCGCAAGTACGGGCCAAAGCTGAAGAAGCCCGTCGGAAGCTACAGAAGGAGGTGGTCAAGAAACCGCCATCAACTCGTATGGTTTGGAGGCCGAAGTCTGAAGCGGCGGTTCAGACCAAGGAACAACAACTGCAGCCGCCGAAAGTTCAAACTACGGCGAATCAACCTAAATCACCGGTGATTTCCGCAACCGTTCCGGGAGATCCCACAAGACTATCCCAGAGGAGGAAGTCAGTTTTGGAGCGCCTCGGTCCGCTTCCCAAAGAACGAGGCAAAGCTCCAGTTCAAGAACGGTTGGGGCCAATGAAGAAGTCCCAAACAATTCAACATGCTGGGGGTTGCCGCAACCCTCAACATTTAGAGAAAATCGTGGCACCCAAGCGCACAACTTTGCGCATTGAAGTGCAGGAGCCCGCTGAAGATTCACACCCACAAAGGCGTGTTTCGAGGCGTGTGACTCTGGAGAGCTCAAAGAAGGAAATTCATTCTCAGAAGGAAATGTTGTTGTCAGATGACGATGACGTTATACCTGGGAGATCGTGCCAACACACGATAGGTTGCTCCGACTTCCAAACGGACAAGCTGTATTATCGTGCTGGAGGTACGAGCAAATCCAGAAAGAGGAGCCCTCAAAGATTAGAGACTCAATGTCCTTGCTCAAAACTCATTCGGGCGGTATTATCTGAGTGCGACTGCACCAAAATGTTTCCCGAAAGAGTTTCCATGTTCCAAAGACTCAGTATGGAAGCGCCAAAGCCAAGGACTAGACGTTTCCAAAGAAGAGGAACAATGGTCAAAGATGATGGGAGAATTTCCGAGGGTCACCACCAATATGACCAGCAGAGGGACATCGGCACGGGATGATTTCGAGTCGATTCTGAGAGCCTCCCGACCTAGAACCCGTCTGCAATCTGGAACCATCGAACGAGCAACCTATGGTAGGGTTCGGACAAGACGCCCTTCAGAAGATGAAGAATCTGATGCCGGCTCCGCAGTCGCATCAGATAATACGGTATCCAGCGAGGGACAACCCCGTGAGGCGCTTATGATAGGTGCGGAGCAAATTGCCAAGATGATTGAAGACGCTTTGGCTAAGCAGCAGGAAACTTTCAGGTTCGAGATGCAGATGACCATGCAGAACATGAGAGAAATGCATGACCAACAAATCCACGCACTGACGAACCAGCAAGGCGAGCCGAGTCGTCGCAACCAAGTCCATCAGGAGGACGAGGATACGAATGATCCTCCCGTCAATGCAAGGGGTGGTAACGGGAATGCTAGTGAAGATACAGGTGAAAGCCTAAAAATTAAAAATCTCGAGAGCAAAATCAATACATTGATTTCCGCTCAAGAGATGAAAAAGACGGGCATTCCTTGTCCATACCCAAGAGAGTGGGAATCAATCCCATATCCGACGAAGTTCAGTCTAATTAACTTCACGCCGTTTAATGGGATGGGTTCACCCACTCAGCATTTGATTTACTTCAAATCGGGTATTATCTCCGGCAATGAGCCTCTGATGGTGCGGTCATTCGTTGGCACTCTTCGCGGAGCCGCCTTCGATTGGTATCGCCGTCTCAAGCCAGGCAGCGTGAACAGCTGGGATGACATGGAGACCAAGTTCCTGGCCAACTTCTTCGACGACGACACCGAGATATCTATCGGATCGTTGCTCGATGAGAAGCAGAAAGACGGGGAGTTAGTCGACACCTTCGTCAAAAGGTTCCGGAACAAGGCGATGAATTGCCGGGACCCGATCACCGAGGAATTCATCCTCCAGACCTGCCACAAC